CTTTTTTTAAATCAGCAGTGGGGACAAGTGAGGGAATGACATATTGGTATATTTTAATTACCTAAAATAAATAAAAAATAAAAATTGATAATTTTATTTTTATTCTTTTGTTAGCTTGCATTCTGAAGGACACTTTCCCTGAATTTTTTTTTTTCGTAAGCTGTAAAACAAACATAAAATATACTGGGGACATGAAAATGACTGTTTTTGTGAGAATGACCCATATATATTTGAGATTTTGTACCTACTCATCACAAGTGATTTCCAAGCCGTCTCCTCTATGCATAAAAAGATTTTTTCCCCAAAAAATTATTTAGTATCTTACAGTAGTCTCGCTTGCCCACTCCCATATCAGCAAAAATAAGTTATTTGAAAGCTTTATGTCCAACTTGTGTATTTAACTCATATTTGAATGACCCCTTAAAAGAAACTTTTTAATCGATAAGAAAATTATAATATATCAATTAGAAAAGAATACATAAAAAATAAATATTATTTCAGAGCGTTGAGATAGATTTAATAATCTAAGAAAAATTGGTTAAGCTTACCAGATATATGGCACTCATATGATTCCATTATGGCTTCAATGCCAGGCCATTGAAAAGGAGGTCTATCATAATACCAGTCAGTCTTTTCAACACTTTCACTTTCAGGACTTTTATAAAATGCATGTTCAATTAAACCAGAAGAACTATTTTTCTTTTCTATGAATATAAATAGGATTTCATTATATAATTTTTAACAAATTCATTGTATAACTTTTAATTTCATTAAACTTGAAATATAAAAATATTAGATGAGAAATAAAACATGGGAACAAGTCAAAACTTTTTAATGCTAGACTTATTTTTATTTACTTATTTATTTTGTTCTTTTTATGTTTAAAGAGCTGAATAAGATGGTTTAGTGCAGTGATTATCAACCTTTTTTATGTGGCGGCACACTTTTAACGATTTCGAAATTTGACGGCACACAATGAAAAAAAAAAAAGTTTAAAAGTTGTTTACTTACCTATAATACACTGTGTTAAATAGACTGTGATAATAATTTTGATTGTGAAATAAAATAATATGTACTACAAAAGCACTTTTATTAAGGGATTAATTATTTCTTTCGACAAATTTTTTATTAGTTAGTAACAGTTATTTTTTTTTGCCAGTTATTAATTGTTAGCTTGTTTTCTATAATTAACTGTTAGTTTTTTTACATTATTTATTATTTTTTTGTGATTTCTTGTTAATTAGTTTTTTTCTAATTATTAATTGTTAGCTTATTTTTTTGTTAGTTATCCCTTGTTAATTTGCTTTATAACTATTAACTGCACCGTTTACTTTAATGATTAGCTTTTATTTCCGTTGGAAAGTTAATATTTAGCTTGTTTTAGCCTTTGTTAATTATTTTAATAGTCATTAAATTTCCTACTTATTTTAGTATTTTTTAACATTGTGTGTCAAAGACAATTTAAACACTTCCTTCTTATTTTTGCTTATTTTAATATTGTCAGAGACAAGACAATCGCCGACAAAGATGTTCGCGCGGTTGTATCGCGGAAAAATTATAAAAAGTATATATTAAAAATAATAAAAGTATAAATAATATAATGTATATAATATTATATATATGTACACTTTTCTTTGATTTAAACTTTACTCGTAATAAAAGAAAGCATTATAATTTTTATTGTATCATTTCTAATATTTGGCGGCACATTTTAAGAATTTAGCGGCACACAAAAGTGCCGCGGCACAGTGGTTGAGAATCACTGGTTTAGTGAATTCAATTAAATTAATTTTAAAAATTTATACATAAGAATTAAAGATTATAAATTTGTTATTATTTTTTGACAGCAAGCTTTTAATTGATGAACATTGAAATATAATTTCTAACAATCTTTTTTATAGTACTTATTACAGTTTTGATATTTTAATTTTTCTCCAAAAGAAAGACTCTTAGTTACTTAACTACTTTTTTTTATATATACAGAACCTACTGTTTCCATTTGGATAAAATAAATTTCTACTTATTTCATAATTTATTAATAATTATATTAATAATTTCAGAAACTTTTCTTTTTAAAACAAATTTTCTAGAGAAGTAACACACACATGAAAATTTATAAGGCATTTGCTTATGAATTTTCAACTCAAACAAATGCTTTCAATATTGATAAAAGGCATGGTGAATACAACTTACAGTATGACTGTTGGGTAAAATATTTTATTAGAAATTATTTTAAGAAACTTATTTTATAGACAGTCACAAAATGTGTACCAATTTGTTTGTCTTTTAGTTTAAAAATCAAAAATACAAGCATACTATAGTTATTAAATTTACAAGCAACCATCTATATTTACCTGGATATAGATTTTTATTTTTTAAAAAAAACTAACTTTTATTTTAACTGCACTAAACATATCTCCCAAGTGCAAGTATAAAGTATTTAATCAAATAATTATTTGTTAAAATATATAATTACTAAGACTTTTATAAGGTAGTACATACAGAAAAACAAAACTACGTGTCTGGAAAAAATGAGCTTTTCCTTTTTAAGTAAATTCAAGTGCCTAAAGCATTAGTGTTACTTTTTAACTACCTGATGAAGGAAATCCCTTTATTCTCCATATCGGTGTTTTCCAAACTTATGACTTTTGTGTACCATTTCTAAATTTTTCGTAAAGCTGTGTACCCCTAACAAAAAAAATGAATGTATTTTTTTAAAAATAGGTTTATTTAGAATGGAGAATAAAGTTAAAAGTCACTAAGTATTAACCGTTAACTCTGCAAAAAATAGCTAATAGAAAAATATGTAATCGTAAATTTTCATAGCTAACTTGTTTTTAAATAAAATTTGTAAGTTTTGTTTGTTGCAAGATATTTCCCAAAAGAACGCGTACCCCCACTAAACTGTTCCTGTACCCTTGGGGGTTCAGTACCACACTTTGGGAAACACTGCTCTATATGCTTGGTTATATTTGTCTGTACATGGAGCCTAAAGAAGTCTTAATAAATATTTTGTAGGCACTTTTCTAAACTTATATAGGTTAACCTGAAATGTGTTTTTGTTTTATTTTTTATTAATTCCTATAAATGTTTTTTTTTTTAAGTTAAGAAGCAAGATGTGGCCTATCCCAAGAAAATCTTAACACTCTTCCTCTAATTATTTCAATTGTATGCTTGATAATGATCTCTACGAAGCTTTAATGCCCATTGGAAAGGCAGAAATTTTGATTTTACAGTTTAAATTTAAAGATGGCATAAGGTGTTTTAATATGAAATCAAACATATTTCAAACTGTCTAATTTTATTTCAAAATAACATAGTTCAGTTCTTTTATGATAATTATTTTGCATTCTTACAAAATTAATGTTATTATGACAATAGGAAAGTTCTACCTTTAGTAGTTATAGATAAAAAGTGAGCTTAAAAAAATAGTTTTCTCACCTAATTGCATTTGAGTCGTTTGCAAAACAGACTTATGAAATTCCTCAACAAAATCTTTATTGATTTGCCTGACTCTTGGATCTTTTGGAGCAATGACAGCACCTTTATCTTGTGTTGTTTCAGCAAATGCAGGAATCTGATTGGTAGGAATCAAAGGAGGAACTGGCAGATTAACTAAACAAAACACTTTCAATTAGTTAACATTTGCAAAATAAAATTGCAGTGCAATAAGTGCAAGATTGAACTAATTCTTTGAAAAGATTGATTGAAATTGAAAATTTTGAAATTAATACCAGTTTTCATAGGAGGCTTGAGGAATGAAGATATTTTCTTGGGAAGAGGAACTGCTATTTGGCTAGATTCACTGGCAGGGAAAAACTTTTTGTCACTGAACATTCTATCCAAGCCAGAGTCATTAATATTTTTTTCTTGGTTTAAATTGGGCTTTTTAATAATCTCTGATTTTACATTATTTAAAACAGAGTAATCTGCAAGAAAAGTATGATTATTAACACAAAATTTATGAATAAAAAAAAACAATTCTATATTTGATTCATTTTTGAATGAGAGTATTTATTCAACAAAACAAACTAAAATAATAAACTAAGGATCAAAACCAAAAATATTAACAAAACAAATAAATAGATTCAAATTTATTCAAAATATTGGTAAGGGGCTCCTACTTAGTGATTTTTTTTTTTTGACGATTTCTGAAAGAGATTGACAAAAATCAGAGTAAACTTAGAGACGATGCTGTCAATGATTTATTTTCAGAGTAGTTGAAAGTTAAATTAGAAAAAAAAGTTATTAAAGAAAAAACTAAAAATCTTAAACAAACAAACAAACCACTTCTCATCTTTAAAAGCTAACTAATTTTAATGATATATTTATATCATAAAAACAAAACCTAACAAACACAACTAACACAATTAACCTAAACAAAAACACAATTGTTAATTTATTTAAAATACAGTAGGGAACCGATTATCCGGAACGATCGGAACCATCGCTATTCCGGATAACTGATTTTTCCGGTTTTCTGAATCGCTACAAAAAGCCGTTTTTTTTTATTGTAAATCCCAACTAAAAAAATAATTTTTTTTGGAAATAATCTTAAAAAGAAGAAAAAACGATGGAGTAATACACTAATGATTATTTCCAAAATGATGGTAAGGTAAACATCTTTCAAAAAAGAAAGAAAAATCCTAAAATCTTATGAGGAAAAAAACATTTTTTTTAAAAAAATGGCGGGAAAATTTATCGAATTTCGTTCCGGTTTTTTGGTTTTCCGGATAACGGGTTCTGTACTGTAGTTCCATAATTCATAAATTTGTTTTTACACACAATAATATCAGTTAAGGTAATTTTTATTGACCTTAAATTTTATTCATTGATCTTGTTTCCATGACACCAATACAAGTGGCACCAAGAAAAATGACGCTGACTAAAATTAAAATTGCTTGCCAAAATCATGTACCTTCGATATCATTTTGAAATCAATGAAGGTAACCTTTAGGAATGACCAAACTCCATAAACGACTATTTTACTGTGAAACAAAGAATGGTCGCTCCCAAGAGCTTTTACTGTATTTATTAAATAAACAATGCATACCTCGTTTTCCTAGTATGCTACTTTGCACCTCCATTGATCCTTCACTATTAGATTTTAGTAAACCATTTCTTCTTAGCTTATCTTGAAGCACAATTTTATCAAGTCTTTCTTTATCTAAAATCATTGCAAAATTTCACAATTATTGTAACAAACCTGTTCCAGGTGGAAGAAAAACAGACAAATTTCATTTAAAAAAGATTTTAGTAAACCATTTATTTTTAGCTTGTCTTCAAGTACAATTTTATCAATTCTTTATGCATAGCTTTTGATCTAATGATTGGATCATCATGTTCTAGGACTCAATCTTAAAGACTCGAGGGGGTGATCTCAAATATGCTAACTAATAAGTGCAGACAATATTTAAAGTTATGAAATCAGAAACAAAACCGTACTTTATCTGAATAAAATATAAATTCGGATTCCTGACCCCCAAAATATCAAGAATAGCTGCAATTTTGGAAATATGGTTCAAATAGTTTCACTAAAAGGACTCTCTAAAGTTTGTTTTTTGCATATTTCGCTATCTTTTTAGGTGGATTGAAAAATATTTGCAAACAATTGTAAAATCCATTTATCCAAATACAATTCCATGCAAAAAATAATTCTCAGTAAGTATTACTTATTTTTTTATTATTTTATTTAATAATGGTTGAAAACTTTTGAACCCTGAGGTCTACAATTTCTTGCATCACTTTAAAGAACATAATTTTACATGGTAAAATACAAAATTTGAGCAAAATCAGTTGAATAATTCTTGAGAAATTGAATTTCAAAAAAGTGAGATATTTAAAATTTGATTTCGCAGAAACTATTCAAGAGATTTTACTCAGATTTCGTAATTTGTCATGTAAAATTATATTTTATAAAATAATAATGCAAAAATTTGAAAATCTTACAATTCAACATTTTTTCAACAATCATTAAATAAAATAAAAAATAATAAATATTTATTAAAAATTATTTTTTTGCTTGAAATTATATTTGGATAAACGAATTTTATAATTGGGTGTAAAAGTTTCTGAGTTTGCTTGAAAAGTTTTAGAGATATAGCGAAATGCCCAAAAAGTAAAATTAACATTAAAGGGTCCAAACCTTGGAGCGCCCTCCTGACCGAACCATTGAGAGCATATTTCTAAGATTGAGGCCATCCCCTATATTTTGAGGGTTAGAAATCCAAATCCGTCAAAAAATAGTATGTTTATGCAAAGAAAGTACGTTTCTGTGTCTGACTTTGTAACTTAAAATATCGTTTGCACTTATCAATTTTAGCGTATTTGAGGTCACTCCCTCGAGCCATTAAGTTTGAGACCTAGAACATGAAGATTCGACCATTAGATCAAAAGTCATTCAGAGTGGTCCTTTTCTTTCTTTTTATTGTACACTGTATATCATGAATAAAAAGTTAAAAGAGAGAAGAAATTTTTACAAAAATCAATTTTAGCCTTTGCAATCAATATAACATTTTTATTTATGTTAAAAAATGGTCACTGTGTAAAGGCTAAACTAAACTGAACATTTAAATAATACCTTCTCTCTGATCCAGAGGAATAAATGATAACTGCAAAGATCTCAAAAAGTCAGACTTTTCTTGGAACTCCTCTTCAAAACACAGCCGTTTTGCTAATTCATTGAGGTGTTCAACATCATACTCTATTTCTGGCTCCTTGATTGGCTCCATATCAACAGGACTCATACTTTTCTCCCTCAGCGCCTGGTGTCGCTTAATGCATTTATGTAGCTCAATAGCTAGAGGTAAAAAAAATTGTTACAATAAATTTATTTGATAAAAAGATTTTAAAAATCATGAAATTGAATACTAATCTGTAACAGAAAAAAAAAAATCAAACTAACCTTGTATTTTGGAAGGAATGGTTAGATCTAGTTTAGAAAGGAACTTCAATTTCTGAAAAAGAATATTCAACTTGTAAAAAAAAATTACGATTTGATTTATTAAACACTAATTATACCATCAATCTGTCAAGTAAATATTTTCAATACTGATTGGAAATTACTTAAAAAAATATTTCAGTTTTTCTACACAAAGCAATTTCTGAGGAAACAAAAATATCTTACTTAAAAATAGGCTAATACTTAATATTTATTTTAAATCTGCCCTTCAGGAATCAAAGATCTCGTATAACTAACATGTAAAAAAATAAACAAATGGCTTTGAAAAACTGTAAAAGTAAAATAGAACATGAAATTATTAGAGAGAGAAAGCTGCAATGGCTAGGGCATATGTTAAAAAACTTTGAAATATATAGTGTAAAAAAAAAGGCATTTGATTCAAAACCTCGGGAAAAGCAGAAAATCAAAAATATTTTAGTTTCAAACAATTAATAATGAAATGAAAACTATCATGGAACGAGGTGACATTGGGTGCTAGTGTTAGATAACAATACTATTAGGGTGAAATGGAAGACCATAACAGACTCATTATGTTCCACTACAGAGATAAAAGAACAGTTACAATTAAAGAGTGATACATAAAGTTGTCGTGATAATAATAAATCGTCAAGGTGTAAAACTAGCAAACAAAACTTTTGGAAAAAATGAGTATATTAATCAACACATTACATTCTTTCTCAGCTTTTTTGTCAACAAACTCCTTTTCAATTTCTATAATTTTGATATTTAATTTTTTTTTAAGTAAGCACTTAATAAGCTTTTTACAAGGCTTAGTCATAAATGTTTCCTATAACAGTTTCTATATTTAGTTTATACTGCAGTATATAAGCTTGTATCTATACTAGAATGATCAATGAGAAATGGTCAAATGAATGAATGCATGAAAGAAAATTGCTTCCAAATGTTGGCCTATACCTCTTGGCCCTACAATAACCTTTACTGTTAGTTTAATTTATAATAACAAAGCCCTTCATTTTTTTTTTAAATTTTTGAAGTTATCAACTGATTGCTGATTAAATTATAGTAAGGAAAATGTCTTCCCACCAACACTTAAAAATTAATAAAGTGTGTGGGAAGTATCCTTCCCAAGGACTTAAAAATAGTTTAAATAGTTCAAGGGTTATGTAAAAATGATTTATTGACCAAAGGTTGTGCACCTCTAACAGAATAAATAATACCTTTGGATTTGAATCCATCTTAGGAGGTGGACCTTTTTTAATGGACAGTAAAACTTTTAATCGCTCTTCATCCTCCTCATCAGACTCAATTTCAGATTCATCGCTATCAGCAACTTCTCTAGTCATTCGCAGCTTCCTCAAACGCTGCTCCCTGGCATCCAAGACACTGACAAGTCTAGGTCTTTCATCCGCACTATCGTGAAAAGGAGGGATTTCAGAGCTATTTAGTAACATTCCACTCGCTGACAAATCTCTGAGTTTATAATTTTCAGAAAAATCATTAACATCACCACGGAATAAGGCTGGAGGAACATTAAGCACGAAACCAGGTAATTTATTGCTAGGCGATTCATTTTTTAAGCTCTCTTTAATGCTTGTTTTTTCATTTTCAAATTCTTTTGAATTGACAGAGAAATTTTCTTGGGGTGGGGAAGCCGTCTTTGAGTCGGATTCCATTTTATTTTGATTATCCGGTGAGTGTTCTGATTTGGCAACAAAACTGTTCAAGTAATCAAAACTGTTGTTGGAAGGGAACTTTTCACGAGCGAAAATTCCATTGATTTGAGAATTAATGACTGATGCCATGCTCAAAGTGCGAGTTTCGAATGTGGCGCCATTTTTATTCTCCCTCTCCACATAATAGTTTGAAGATCCTTTAGGTCGAGGAAAAATTGTCAGTTTACTTTCTGGTGTTTCAGCGTGATGAGGCTTTGATTCATTTTCCTGCAAAAAAATAATAATAATGTAAGAAATACAGTAAATGAAAAATAGCTGGAACTTCATATTCAGTTAATTTAAAATGCTTAGATATTTAATTTTCCCTTTACTAAAAGTTTACAAGCATTTACGTAAAAATTAAACAATAATTAGGCTTGCATAATTTATTTATTAATTGATGTACACTTACATGAAGCTTCACAAATCTAAGTAATTTTTAAAATTAAAATATAGTATTGAAGACAACAAAAAAATATGAAATACAAAAAAGAAATGATGCAGAAATAATTTTTTTTAAAAATGAGATGGGATTTTCTAAGAGAAATGACATAAAATGATTAAGAAAGTGGTAGGAAGAACATCACTACACGATACGAAAAAATAATAATGATGATTATGAAATGTCTTGAAACAAAACTAAACTCAGTGGCGCGACAGCCCATAGAGGGCCAAAGTCTACTGTGCCGATCTCAGTTTTCTTGACCTTGGGCTCTGGGGTGCAGGAGCAGATGTTCCGGTTAGGTGGTCAGCCGAACGCAGAACCCCCAGTGTTTAGTTCCCAAACATGCTTTGCACTCATTTATCGACCCACTGAAGGGATGAAAGGCTGAGTCAACCTTGCCCGGCCTGATGATCGTACCCAGAACCTGTGGCACGGGAGTGCAAAGTGCTACCACTCCGCCACCGGGCGTCAATGTCTTAAACTACTGTCAAATTATTTTTAATTTGTAAATCACATAAGGTTTACTTCACATTAAAAAATTTCGAATTACATTACTCTGTTTCACAAGTACACTGAAAAAAAAAAGATTTCATGTTGTGCAAGTAAATGCAAGAAATGCAAGTAAACAGAGTGAAAAATATTTTATTGATTATGTTATACTGATTTAAGTGCTAACAATCAGAAGGAAAAAAAAGAGTAATAATTTTGCTATGTAGTTTGAAATTTGTGAAAAACTGGCAATACTATACTTAATGTTTACTTATACTGAATAGTTCATGTAAACAAAACAAAAAAGGATTCTATTACCAATCTTACATCCAAATATTTGTTTTGAGATCACTTTAAAATTTTAAATCGAATATAAAAAATAAAATAAAAATGTACAATTATACTATTTGTTTTAAACAAATTTCATCTATAGTCATTCCTATCTAAAGAACTTCTCCCGCCACGGTGTCTGGAAATGTCTGTTGCTATGGAAACAAGAGCACATTTTAGAGAAGATCTTTGTCCTTCATATTTAACCTGCACTCTTACTTGAAATAGTTCAAATCTGGTAACCATAGTCACTGACAGTGCTCCAAACAATTAGCAAGGGGAGTTCTACAGATAGACAGGTACCAACAAACAATTATAAACTAAAATAAATACCCTGGAAACATTCATTTGGTATGGCATTCGATGAGAAGAACTCATTTCCTGTTCTTTTCTATAGTAAGCAAGACCAGTATGTTGATTGGAATTTCTTGGATGCAACTGACCATTCACAAGAGAATTGTTATTTTGCCTTGGCTGCCTTGAAATGTATTCTTCTTTTACAGATAATGGTGTTTCCATGTGAGGAATATTAGTGGCCAAATTCAAAGGAGCAGATGAAGATGGAACGGGTGATAAGCTCCTAGTATATTCACGTGGAGTTCCATGGATTATTGATCCCATATGTCCTGCAAAGTTCAAAATGAGTTGGTAAATATTCTTACAACATATTGAAAAACTGAATGAAGGTAGTAACAATTATATCTCAGCAAAAGGTATAACAAGTGAACTATAAGTTTTTATTTAATAATTATAAAAGCATAGTTTAAATTATTACTAAATAAGACTTAGCCCTAACTATATAAGCAATTTTAGTAAATTCTAAAAGTGTCAAAGAAAATATTCATTTCAATGTTTGATGATATAGTTCAGATAATCTTAACAGGCTTAAACTATGGTTGTTAGCCACTCCGAGTTAAGCACACAAAGCTAACTCAAAATAATATTAATTTCTATTCAAGTTGTACAAGTACAAAAGAAAATTATTTTAATAAGTGGTGGTATAGTTATCAGCCACCAGTCAGAGGATCTGAACTTACAGGGATCGTAGGTAAGACTTGGTATATGTGCATCGTAGGTCAAAGAATCTGAACCTATGTGTAGAATCCCAAACATTGGTCTTAAGAGCCATTGCCTCATAGAGTCATAAATAGTAATTTTTGATTAGATACAGTTCACTTAGTAAGTTTAAGACGAAAAATAAAAAGTTATTCTGGAAAAATATTAGCAAATGATAAACTATATGATTTCAGAAAAAGTTGGCTTAAATTGCTTTATAACCTACTAGCTGTACCCTGCGTGCGTTGCAACGCTTTCAATTTGAATTTGAATTTTGTATTTAAGTGTGTAAATGACATTTGCGATTATGATTTGAAATGCAAATTTTATTTAATGGTGAAAAAAAGCAGTTAATTCTCTAGGATATCATTAGTGCATTTTCAAACAGACATGTATGGTGATGCACACGGAGCATGAAACATATTTTGGACAATGATCTGAAATAAGACTGGATCTATGGTGACATCAAGAATTTCTGCTGATATCTGATCAGTTTTAGAAGGTGGTTTTTTTTCAATAAGCCAAATTAGAATGTGTGCCTGAGGCAATCCTCGTTTTTGCCATTCAATAGAGTACACCCAACACCGTGTCTCTCTAAAAACATGACGCTTCACAATGAAATCAAGTAAAGATATTGTTATTAAAAAAGACACACGTGCTGTAATATCATGACG